ATGGACACACTACACTAAAAATCAGATTGACTTCATCTCAATCTGAAGAAAGTGGAGACATGGTCCACTGGACACAAGACCAAATCAAGCAGGGGAACAGATGTAGGTGGTGTTTACCACTCGCTATCTAGTGCACGCGATCTACTTTCAAAATCAAGTTGAAAGCCTTCAAGGAAGTTGGTGATCGACGACCATAGTTCAAGTTCAATACCTGGAACAGAAAGTGAAGGACGAAGCTATGAAGGACATCTTCACGTCAGCCAGCCACCAGAACAAAATGGGAGACATTGAGCAACATCCCCGAGGAAAACTGTGTGGAAGAACACTGGAACTCTTTGAAAGAGACGTGAAAGGAAACTCGCATAACCGTGTTAGGAAGGAAGAAGGACGGTCAAGACAAGGAATGGGTCTCGATGGACACATGGAAGCTTATAGAGGAGGGGGAGGAAGATGCGGATAGTGGAGCAGAAGGTGAAGTAGTGCAGTGCAGTGGAGTGCAGCGTGGTGCATGAATGAACAACGGAAGGAGGAACTGAACACAAGCTATAAAACACTACACTGGACGAAGAAGTGAAGAAGAGTGTGCGCAAAGATGAAAGACACTTCTACGACACACTTACGAGGGCAGCAGAACAGTCTGCTGGTTGGAGAGCTGAAAACATCATATCAAATGACTAGGCCACTATCTAGGAGGAGATCAAGCGTGAACAAGATCCGGATTCTCAGCACCAACCCCAAGTCAGTGCTTCGATGTGATGGTTGGCAGACTCGGCACGTCACGAAAAGCATTTCCAACAAACTGCAGACATACATTATCAACAGCCGCCATCTATGCACACTCGATACTGAAGATGGAGATCAGATGGCCAGAATAATGAGAATAAGCAACAAGGGACTCTAATAACGAACCAACCAACTAAGAACCTATCACCCAACAGAAATATGCAGTCGAAGAAAGTGCAGATGGATTGGATTGGGTTGGACATGCGCTGAGAGGACCGAATGCGGATATCACGCTCCAGGCTAGGCCGTTGGGTGGAACTCAAATGGGAAACGACGAGTTGGGCATCCGAGTCGAGGGTTACACGAACCAGACTATGTGGGGAAGAAATGAAAGCCTGTGGGCAGTTGTGGAGACAGGTTGAAAAGACTAGAGAGAACAGAGTGCAATGGAGATGTACTGCTAAAGTCCTATACTCCACCAGGAACCCAAAGGAACAATAATAATAATAGTGGTGGTATTGGTATTAGTAGTAACAGTATTGGTAGTAGTAGTAATAGTAGTAGCATGACTGGTTGATTACTGATTGTCGCACCTACTTATGCTTATTTAATTGCTATTGCTATAATGAATTTTGAGTAGCTTATGTTTATCAAATCAAAGCCCGGTGTTGTCGTTTTGTTGATTAAAAATCATCAATAACTTTACTCAGTGACTTTATGTTCTTTAGAACTTGTCGCATATTATTGATTGTGGATACTTTCTAATTTTCAGAAGAAAGACTACTTTAGCAGGCAGGTCGGTCGATAAAGTTTGAAACCTTTATCGACTGAGGTGTTTTGGCCATATGCTGGACATGACCAACCACCGCCTACCTCAACATACAATCCTAAAGGAGGCTGAATTAGGCTGGAAAAGGGTTCAGAATGGCCAGACCAAAATATAGCACCAGTTGACGAAGTCCCTGACTGGTGTTCTGAGGTGTATAGGAAGAGGTTGAGTGCCTGGTTTGTGTCCACGAGACGATGGAAACCAGCGGTTGAGGGTTTTTAGTGAAATGGCTGAAAATCAGTCACAATAGTGCTTGAACATTTGCACTACACGTTATCATTATGTTGTTTATTCTGTCACACAACTCTGTCTACTTTGATATCACTTTTTTTATCCACTTGCTCTTTGTATACTACTGTAAAATGTGACAAATTAAACCAGTTCCCTTCTGTTTAGGGCTCTACTTTGAGTTGTTTGTCTTTTATCATACGGTTTCTACACATTTTTCCATGATCAAAAATCTGTTACTTGATATCTCAATGATTGGCAATCAATGCTTAGTAATCTGACTGCGTTAGTGATAATCTTTCGGTTCATTCAAAGGTCCATTACACTGAACCTGAACAAGCTAGTATTTAACATGTGTTTTTAATCGGAAAGTTTCACTTTACACTAGTGAATAAACAGTGTGACAACATTGCTTGTGCTATTTATTACATTCTGAGTACTTCGCTTTTGAAATTGGTTGCCCTCCAGTGACTAATCAATTTATCTAGTCTAGTCCTACAGAATATAGTCCTAATAGTTCAGTAGTGACATTGCTGACTGCAACATCTTCTTACTTGATAATTATATTTTTTACGGGAATGGACAGAAGGTAAGTCAACACATTGTTGTCAACAATCTTTAAAAATTACTATGTGGCAGGCGAACCTAAACTTTTGATCATGTCCCTAGTGTATAGTTTAAAAGCATCTTTCATACTACTAGGTCACTGAGAAATAGTTGATTTATGTTGTTCAGTCATGAATGCTGACCAAATAGTTGGGATTATTTTGCAATGTATTCACTAAGCTGTAACGTTTAGCACTGAGGTTCACTTTGATCGAAGGCAGTCAGTAGTATGCTCCGCACCTAAGTTTCCTGCATGTTGGTACTTGTCAAAAATAGTTATTTGCAGCCATGAGAAAACTGAAGTTTTATCAGAGAACTAAACCTTGCATCACTCAATACTACAGTTAAAGAAGTTAGTACTCAGCTTTTCTAGTGTCTTCTTTGATGATATTTCAGTTTTCTATAGAGTTCACGGTGATACATCTAGTGCAATACATTATCTACACCTACCTGGGTACCAAACTCATTGATAACAAAGTAACTAACAATCTTACAGCACTGCTGATGATAGATGATAAATTACCTTCATTTGAAACTATGTCAGCACTGTTTAATTGCATGTTTAATTCCATGATACTTGTGATTCCCCATCGCTATAGTAGATCAAGTTGACAGACCTCTATTAACATACGGACTCCTATTCCGATGTCACAATATTCCGTGGATATTTATTATAATAATTTACTCTGTGGTCACTAGCTGTGGAATCGACGATGCACATTTCCTTGAGACATCCATATAGGAGCCCAAAATAGATTACTCCGGTCCAGTATAACAACGGAGAATTGCAAATAAACCAATAACTAATAATATATAATATCTGTTGCACAACAGGTGACTGTCTTGCCTGAATGACCTAACAAGCAACACTTTGACGTTTCAAACAATGCATACAAGGTTCGAGTCTCATTGGTAACATCATCACTAACTGGGATGCAACTGACGAGTATCAGATAAGATGAAACACGTGTTCCGGATTCCAGTGCTAGACACCACAAAGTAAATCATAGAATTCACTACCTATTGATAAGGTTAGTTTATTTACTCACTTCAGCATAGCGTATGTACAATTCATTGTCAAACGACACCAGACACAGTTAACTACAAAGTCATATCACTTAGCTTCATGAGGACACTTTTAGATATAATCAATAAACTTCAATGGGTGCTGAGTACACTGGTTACCATTCTTGTTATCAGCTTTGCAAGTCATAAGACTCTTTCTCTTGCATCATTTTCTAGTCTACTAGATGATGTACACATAAAAAATGGTAATATTTTATCAGCTATCACATTGAAGTATCTCTTATACAGCAATATTGTCAACGTGTATAAAACATTTTATATATTGTTGAGTAATCGAACCTTTGTATAAGATTCTATTATGCTTTATTTATGTATCCGTTTGTCTTTATTGTATATTGAATTTTGAGGGAGTTGTGGGGATTTGGAAACATCTCAAGTTGTTATTCATCGCAGACTGACATCAGTTGGAGGAACAAAGGAAACATCGAAGCACTAAACAGCTGTTTCGTCCCACTTGAATGGCACTCCACAGCAGTGCGCACCCACCACCCCAACCTCCCCAAATCGAACCCACGACCTTCAGGTTCCATGGCCAGCACGTTATCATTGAGCTAGCCACTCCGTCACAATCCAATGCTCCATATTTCCAACTTCTGTTAGCTCACCATCATCTACAACTAATATCACTCTACGATGAATAACAACTTGAAATATTTTCAAATCCCCACAACTCCGTCAAAATTCAACTGAACTGGTGATCATTGGTGACCAGCTTTGAGAGTTACTGCCGAAGTTCCAATGAGAAGTGGTGACTGGTGGAGGCGAAGCCTGATGTTTGTGAGGACAGTTACTCAAAGATGACATTGAGTGGCGGTTGGGCTATATTATGAGCTAACAGAAGTTGGAAATATGGAGCATTGGATTGTGACCCAGTGGCTAGCTCAATGGTGACGTGCTGGTCGTGGAACCTGAAGGTCACGGGTTCGATTTGGGGAGGGTGGGGTGATGGGTGCGCACTGCTGTGGAGTGCCATACAAGTGGGACGAAACAGCTGTCTAGTGCTTCGATGTTTCCTCTGTCCCTCCAACTGATGTCAGTCTGCGATGAATAACAACTTGAAATGTATTTTATATAATAAATGTTTGACTAAATTATCTAATGTTGCACACTCTTATCTGTAATCTTATCCCGCCTGTAGTTTATTTAATATGGAGTCAATAATTCACGAAGCATTACCTCAAGTTTAAAATTATCGCAGATTGACATCAGCTAGAGAATCACTGAAAATCTGAAAGCTGGTTTTTCTTGGTATTCTCAGCAGTGTGCACCTGACATTCAAAGTTTTGCTGCCAACACGTTAATATTGAGCCACTGGATGGGTATTCAGTAGTCTTTGGTCGATTCATGTATGCACACTGCTCAAAAGTCTCATTCCAGTCCGATACTCCCAGTTTTTCAGTGGTTTTTCAATTGATTTCAGTTCATGAAGGATATCAACTTGAATTCAATAAATATTTCCCCACAAACCTTTAAATTAGCCATTAACTTCTTTGGTATTTTTTTTTCTGTTATTTTCTTCGGTATTCAGAGATGAAAATCAGTTACGACTTAAAACCGGTGAATATGAAGCAAGAGTAAATGTATTTGTTATCGCTTTCAAAGATTATCAAATTATATCTGATGATGTAATTGCTCTACGTCAGGCTGGTAAGTTTATTCAAATAACACTATAACAGTATGATTTACCTGTTTTTAATGGGACAGCATATGTGTGAACAAGTTGCAGTGAAATCTAGCATTGATGTTTAGTCCAAATTGGAACTCATCAGCTGGATGCACCTGCATCCCACTGAGTGATGTTTTTCCCACCGAAACTCGAATCTAGCACTCGTCTCTTCAAATGCTAAAGCGTTATCCACTAGGCCACTAAGATACTAGAGCTGTCTATTGTGCTGTCATTTGTTATTTATTTATTGATACTTGTAATTTCCTCTGTTTGTACAGGATCGGATCGATCAATCCCTGTTGGCATATGGGCTCGTATACAAATGTCTCAATACTACCAGAATGGGTCGGTTGACTTTAAACAGACTGATCGTGTCACTGGAAACTCTTTATTCCACCTATAGTACACAGGTGACACAGTTGCGTTATATGAAGATATTGGCTCATCGCAGTCTTCTGGACAGCCTAAGAATGCTTGGAACTTTTCTCACCACTTAAATAAAGACTGTTGCCCTAGGACTTATCTGTGTTGATAACTTATCTGACAGTAAGGAGTGAAGTGGTTCAGTGCATAGGTCACTTTGCTTACTTGAAAATTTTCTTCTTTTCTAACTGATCAGTCACTGACAGCGAATCGGCATCTTAATGTAAACCTTAATTGCTTCCCACCAAGTTGTGAGACTTGTGGCTTCGTTAAAACAACCGATTACCCGATAACGGTCGAGTTTACTTCACTCTTTACTAAGTGGTTGTAGGTATAACTATGAAGAGTAAAGGACTTAGAAAGGCTTCATGTTTCCGACTTTTATCACACGTCATGGAAGTACCACAATAGTAATACACAGTTTACGTCTAGCATTAAATAAAAGACAGAACAAATCTACAATAACTCATATTGTAGTGAGCGTTGCAGATATAAATATGTTGAGGGGGCGCAGAAATCATAAGGAATTACCAACAATGGGTAAAGATCCTGCTCAGAGAAAAGCAAGAGACAATGTGGGCATACTAAGAGCAAATCAAGACAGAAGCAGAAGAAAAATGAAGTACATTATGCAAATGACTGTCGTAGTGGAAGGTGTTCAGTATTTGGTGACTACTGTACAAGGTGTCAACAATAAACATTCCTTACCGCACCTCCGTCTTCTCTTTTTCTACAATTGGTATCGCTGCCTCTGCACTTAATGAAGACTTCGTGGCCTACAGTGTTCGAGGATGGAGGCATCAAGGTCTTCCTCAGGAACTTCAAGTCGGTTGTGGAGCTGGTGGGTGTTCGGGATCCAGGAGCAAAACTCGTGGCGCTTGGCATATTACTGAAGAATGGAGCGAGAGCGGCATATGACGACATGAAACGTGTGGATGAGAATCAGACTTGGAAGAGCATGGTTGAACAACCGGAGGTGAAGCTGATAGCCTAGGGGACATGGAGCTGGCGATGCAGCAGTTCCGGAGCAGGAAACTTGGAACAGATGAGGATTCGCTGGTACTGACTGTTAAGTTGACCAAACTATTTCAACAAGCATTTCTCACTTTGGATTTGGACTCCCAGGAGCAGTTCCTGGCTACAAAGTTCACCGAAAGTGTCGCCTAGCAGCTACGACTAGTGAACGTAACCCAACCCATGGATATAAGTGAGCTGCTGAAAGTCATCAGACAGCTTCTGGGTACAGCGGTAGCTACGGTGGAGTCATCAGAGGTAAATAACTGGTAATGCCTTATGATTTCTGCCACCCTCTCAATATATAAAACTTATATCCACTCTGATCAGCAACGCCCACTACAATATAACCTGGACCTGGTCATTGTCTGCCTACCCACGTGATGTCAGATGAAGTAGGGTTAAGTTAGAAAAAGTCGAAACATGCTCAGAACAGAACATGACACCATTGGCTGTTTTTCTAAGCTGCGTAAAGATTTATAGATTCCGTGGTTGAAGTCTATGCTTCGACGGGAATTGGTGGTTAGAGAGTCTAGGTGATATGACTCACAATCGATCTGAGTAGTAGGAATACATCCATACATAAACTTTATTCCAACAGTTATATTAACCATTTTTTGGGACTTTCTATGACTTTAAATTGGATTACTTCGATTTCTTCCTCTGTAGATTCTTTGCTTCCCATTTTAATATATTGATATGTTCCTAACTATTGACAAGCTCCATATCAGTACTGACTGACTTCACCAGCCGGAAGAAATTTAATGATCAGAACAAAACTCACAACAAAGATAAACATTTCACTCGTATGAATGTTGTTACTTGTATTATTTCGTCGCTGAGTTGACCGAATTGATTTGTCTCACTTGGTATATCGACTTTTACATGGATGCCTCGATATTGTCCGTTTTTGAGTTATGAAATAATGATGAATACTTGCCAGCAGGGAATCCGGGACTCGCGTTTTTCGTCCTATTTAAGACTCATTAGATGGATACACTCCCCTTCCAGTGAATGTTGTTCCCACCGGGATTCGAACTCGTGACCGATCGCTTTAAAAACCAGATATTTTGACGGGTATAGTTTTAATGTAGCACAAGGAGCTGCTATCGTGACTTGGTGGCCTAATAGGTAAAGCTCCTGCATTAGAATTAGTCAGTATGGAGTTCGAATCCTAGTGGAAACAATATCGCTCACTGAGAGGTAGGTACGTCCATCTGATGAGTCCCAAATAGGAAGAAATGCACATCCTGGATTTCACTACTAGCCGCTATCGATCAAATCAACTGATCAAGTCATTAACACACCGACAAAGATGTTATCACGACTGGCTAACTACTTCAGTTTATTCTCGAATGTCTTTGAGAATAACACTAAGTGCTTCAAAAATAAAGTAATTAGCTGAAATGAGACAATAATACCAAAATCAATACTCATCATCCTGGATTACATATATGCTCTTCCTAATTTGAGTGGAGTACGATTTCAGAAAAAAATTCAACGGTTGATTATGTAGTCACCTTGTGAAAACAATCACTTTACAAAGTGGACAAAATTCTCCATTACAGAAAATTGGGCAACAACACAAAAATCACTTTGAAACGAAACATTTTCGCTACATTCCAATCTTTGGAATTTAGTAAATAACTCTATAAAAAATATGGTCGAAGATCTGCAGGCGAAAACTGACAAAATGACAGAAGAGGCAGGGCAGCGAAGACGGGACTTCAAGTGAACGTAGGGAAGACAGAGGTGATGATGATACTCAACTAACACCACCACCACCAACAACAACAACAACAAGCTGCAAACACCATCAACGAGAGAAACTTAATTGAAGCAACCTCTTCCACCTACCTAGGCAGAATCGTTTCAACTACAGGCGGCACAGGCACAGACGAGGATGTCAAAACCAGTATCGGAAAGACAGCAAGATAGGCGTTCATTAACCTGAAACCATTGTGGAGATCTTCTGCACTGCACTCAGCATAAAACGTGAACAAGATGTGGATTTCTACCACTAATTCAGTCAAGTCAGTTCTGCTATCTGACGGTTGAGAAACTTGGTGCGTTACGAAAAGCATTTTTAACAAACTACAGCTATTCATCAATAACTACCTACGCTGGCTTGTTACTTAATCTCAGATGGCCAGAATAATAAGGATAAGCAACAAGGAACTCACTCCGGCAATGAACAAACGAAGCAAGAACCTATCGCTCAACTAGTATACAGAGGAATAAATTGGAGATGGATTGTGCATACACTGAGAAGGCTGACTAGGGACCTCACGCACCAGACCCGGTCCTCGAGTGGAACCCAGATGGGATACGGAGAGTTGGGTTCGAGTGAGGTGAAGGTGAAGGTGACATGAAGGAGATCATGTGAGGAAGAAATGAAAGCTTGTGGGCAGTCGTGACGTCAGGTTGAAAAGATTTTAGAGAAGAGAGTTTAACGGAGACGTGCTAGTGAATCCGCATGTTCCACTAGGAACCCAGGAGATAAATAAATAAATGATAAAAAATACGGTAGTCATATTTTTGATCTTAAAGAAAAACTAAACCTAGTTAAATACACAAAAGGAAAAAGCCGTAAAACATGAATGTCGTAAAAGAAGGACTTAACCAAGAAAGCCGATGTGTTTCTTTCATAGCGGAAAGTTGATATCAGTTGAATGAGACAAACTAAACTGACATGTCTTTTGACTTGATTGTAAGGATTGTAAAAATGTAGAAAGTAGAAAGATATCTAAGCAGAATTACGTGAAATTATTTTTCTTTTTTCAAACCAAATTTTTCTACCTAACTGAAATCACATTACTGTTATTTTATGAAGGAATTTGCAAAACAACTAAACCACTGTGTTTCGTGAAGTTGCCATCAAAGGGTATTTTTCATTAGATTGCTTCTGGTAACTAGCAAACTCTACGGGGATTTCAGACTAAGTCCTGAATCTTTTTGTTTTTCAACAATAACAACAACGACGGTCGTTGGTTAGACCAAATTGACTGGTCCGTATTGACATATGGGCTCCTTCCCGGATGTTTTGACATGAGCTATGTTTCAGCTTCATGTAATGACAAGCAGTGGAATTCAGGAGGCATGTTTAAAGTTTTTAAAGTAGTATTCTTAAAGGGTCAAACAGTGGGCCATTGAACTTCAATCCAGTGGCTGAATGATCAATGCGTTCCCTGTGAAACTCTATTTCAAACCCTGGTGGTAACATATGTGCTCATTGCTGAGGATTTCCATACTAGGACTAAACGGGTGTTCAGCCCTCGTAGATTTTCAGTAGTTCTCTTAATGATATCAGTCCAGGATGAATACTACCTTAAAAATTAGAATGCAGTTGAAAGTTATAGGACTAAACACAATCACTTTAGATTATTTATATTGTACTTATATTTCACCAGTCATGCAGTAACAACAGCTAGTTTCATTAAGAATTTACTAGTCAGTGTCAACATTGAACCAAGATTTCCTTTGTAACACTTCAAGTCACTATATATCACATCATCATACCAAGTAAAACGGCACCAAAGTATTA